CCCCCGTGACCATATACATATAGGTCTTTTCGCTCCGAACTCGTCCTGGGGCCTGTGCAGCTCTCCTCGCGCCCACTGAGAGCGTAATACCGAGAGAGAAAGAGAGAAAGAGGAAGAGGAAGAGTGATCGAGTTGGCGGCGGCGGTCGGCGCCTTTTGATCTTGCCTGTAATCGCGTCGGGCCCCGCGGCCTGACTGACGTCATGAAAGGTGTCCGAGAGCCATACAAACGCGACGAACCCATCCAGGTGTGCGATGTATGCTGGTGGATATGTCCTTACGGTCCATCGGGATCCCATGAGGTAAGGGGAAAGAGAAAGGGGTGGGGGGATGTAAATCTTGAAGATCTGATGAATGATGAAACGGGACTACTTCGACTGCATCGGGAACCGCTGGTCGAGATGGTTCGGGGTTGTCTCTTTTTTTAAAGATACCGTGGCAATTAGCACAACTTTTCATAGCAGGTGTTGCGAGAATTTCGTGTAACGACAGACCCATTACGTTGTGTGTCGATGGTGATGAATTTTTTTTTTTTTGTAACAGCTAAGCCGTGAATTTTTAATATTATTATTCTCTGAAGTTATCACCATTCTGGCGTCCAGGAACACGATGTTCGGATGAAGTCGACGGTTGAAAGATGTTTACGAATTTGAGTGCTGAGTTCAATCAGTTTTTCATGTAACGAATATGGCGTATTCTAGCGCTCTTGTGAGAGCAGTTCCTCGAGCTTGAAACAATGGCTGTTTATCTTTTTTTAACTTGTGTATGTATCACGATAGTTTGCTATGAAGTTTTAATATTTCTTGATTCTTTATCGTTACGATGTAAATTTACGGGAAACATACAAACTATAGCAATCGAGAACTGAATGCTGTAGAAACGCGTGGATGATTTATACATATACGAAAGTAATTTAATATTATATTGCAGTATGAATTAATTGTCATGTCAAAAAATGCATTAAATGGCTATTGTTTTTCTGCAATGGTTATTAACTAGCTGAGAATGGTAGTGCAAGTTTCCATTCGTAAATTGATAGAAAAACTTATATTATCGACATATTGCTTATGTTACAAATGAAACGCGACTTTTATTAATTTTTGTTAAACTTCCTGTTTCATTCTGCTTACATATTTATATTGCATCATTAACGTTGTTAAATGTTTTATTATGTCGGATATTAATTCTAAGATTATTACTTCAGTTTTGTGCAATTATATTACTGAACTAATATGTATTAGTATTTTTCACATTTCTAGTGTATTTCATCGCTACAAGATATGAGCTTAAGAAGAAATTATAATTCATTAATAAAAATTTGATCTTTTAGTCTTTACATTTAACGTATCTATAAAGTTGTACGTTTACAATGAAATTAATATAATAGATCGTTACACCTCCGTGATAAAATTCCTGGGTACAGATTTTGTCTGGACCAAGTAGGTATGTCTCATACTTCAAAGATACGCTCCCACCCATAAGTATGTAATCGGAAACTTGACTGTTTTGAGGAAATTGGAAATCGAAACAGAATGTAATTTTTTGATGCTATTTCACTAATTCATTCTATTTTTTAGGGAAGATAGTAATTTTGAACACATCACAGACGTATTTCAGAATTACCTACCCAAACAAATACAAATATACTACAAATTAAAAATCAGCTGTAAATTGTCTAACACTATCCATAGTCGAGTCAATTTAATACAATTAAATAATTCTGGCACTGATTTTTGAGAAGACAAATCGTCAACTCGTAGAAATCATTATAGGTAGACTGTGTTCAGTAGAATCGGAGGAAAATTATTTTAGAAAATTCACTGCTAATGTGCCACGATTCATTTGGGTGAATATTCCTGAATGAAATGAACATACTAATTAAACAACTGTTTAAGATTGTTCATATCAGTGAATACATCTTATATTCTCCCTGGAATGTGCAAAATTAATAAGTGTTGAGGTTTTGTGTGGAGTTAAACACGTGGTTGGTTCATCCCGTTGTAGGATTTAATCAGTTCAAGAATAAGAGCTATTATACACGTATTATAAAATAGAAACATATTTTACTACCCTAATGCTAGAAATATAAAAACACACGATAAACAAAAAATATTATTAAACAGTCTAACAGACAAATAAACTTTCTTCTTAACTTTTACGATTTTTTTACTCTTTGTCCCTTCTACGCAACACAGCCACGCGAGAAGGAACCAACAATCCTCGCGCATTCACTCACGCATACAGTTCTGCCAACCTCATAAAATTACTATCCCTTCTTTTCTCAACAATAAGAATAGTTCCTTTCATAATTTAAGTAAGTTTTGTGACTCTAATTCTTTCACGTTCCACGGTTAGTAGCACAAGTATTCGATGACTTACAGATGGCAGTGTACATTGTGCTTCATTCTGTCTTGGATTTAGTCGGGATAAACGAAGCTAGAACATTAAAATAAAAAATCCACGGTAACATACAGGCTTGAAAGTACGTAGCGTCACGTACAAATGAAATTTCACCGGTGATTCTTATGCAAACGGTCCTTTATGCGAATACGAAATGATCGTCACTGTCCTCATGAACGCGTCTCAAGGAGAGGAGTAGTTTACATACCTACGTGAATTTTCAGAAGAGATTCGCTCGTCCGAACTCCCTTTGCCAAGGCTGGCGTTTTACTGCTGAACGCAAAACCGGGGCCGTAACTCGTAACACTTCCTTCTCGTAGTCCCCCAATGATCTCTGTCTTACGCGAAGTTCCTCCTTTACGAAGTCGTAAGGTGGACATCATAAAAGGGTAACAGGCCCGACTACCACCAAGACGCATCTCATTCCGCTTCTTTCTTTTCCGAGCCTTTTGCCGGGAACTAGCCGCTCCTTTCTTCCCGAGAACCTTTTTCACTTAGATTTCGCCGCCGCTCGTGTGACGTCGTTTGCTTAACTTCGTGATTATAATTAAGTTAATTAAAAGGGGGTCTAATTAGCCGTAATTAGTGGTATTTTAGTTACACCTTGCGTGCTACCGGGCTTTCTGATCTTTTCAAACCAGCCCCGGAAAATATTCTTCTTGTTTTCGCTCGAGTCCTGGGACAGGTTACACACCTCGGCTCGGCTTATAGGTTTGCACCACACTCAATATGTAATACGGTTGGGAACAAATAACGTATTACATAATCTGAGAATGTCAGATGAGACCGATGAACTACTTACAGTACCGGACAAAAGTATTCGTACACCCTTTAAAACGGAACAATTTTTTTAAAATTGGTCCAAATGACTTGAGTTATTTTGTGAAGATGGAGACATTAGTTTACTAAATGATGTGTAGACAAAAATTGAAAAAGTTGAAATTGGTCGGAATCGCGAAGAAAATAGTATCGGTCGTTTTTTACAACTTTTTAATCTGAGGCTACAAAGAAAATTTAATAAATACGTATTATGTTAGTTATATACATACTGAAACTTTCATTGAAATCGGTTAATACAGAAACGAGTAACAAGCATCGAAAGATGTAAGGATCTTTAGATATACTAGTTGTAGGTCAAAAGTCGCGGAAAACTGCGATTTTTAACATTTTTAATCATTTGTATCTCGTAGCAACGTTAACCGATTTTCATGAAATTTTCAACATGTATATAACTAACATAAATCTTCGATATGTATTTATTAAAGTTTCATTATAGTATCACATCACTATTTTCTTCGCGATTGCAACCAATTGCAACTTTTTCAATGTTTTTTTACACATCATTTAGTAAACTAATGTCTGTAACTTCACAAAATAACTCAAGTCATTTGGACCAATTTTGAAAAAGTTGTTTTAAACGATTTTAGGGGTACTCGAGCACATATGCAAGGTACATTAGGGTGATTCCTATACAGATTAAAGATGTTTTTTTCGAAATTTCATTCTGGCAGTCTTTTAATATGTACTATACCCCACGAAACTACTACAGTATTTTTTCTACATTTCTACAATCAATTCAGGCGTCGCTGCAATTTGTAGAAAATTAACATTTTATCTGATGAATTTTCAACACTGATCGCCATTTTATTTTACATTTTCGTTCATTCTTTCGCTTTGTTCCATCGAAACATCCCCTTTCAATTCGTACATTATATATATTCGTGTATTATACATTTACGATGACGACCATCTTTTCACTCGCCTAAATATGTCACCACTGGAAGATAGAAGAAAGTATGGCGACTTCTTCTTTTTAAAATTTTGAACCTTATTATCGACAACCCTCCACTATTTCATCTAGTTACACTTAACGTCTGTCCTTGCTCCGTACGCAATCGCCCGACTTTTAGAATTGATAATTTTAGAACTGATCTGAAGTTTACAGACCCTTTGGCCAGAATATGTAATTGTGCGAACAATATTTCAGTTAGTGTCGACTTTTTTTCTGGTTCTATTAACATCTTTAAACATTCATTGAAGACGTTAGGTTTATAAGATGTATCTCTCAACTTTGTACATTAACACCTACAGTTACAACTCTCACTTTACTTCTACTGCAGCAGTATATTATGTTAGCATGTATGTGTATGTGTACGTACGCGCACATACTCACGTGAATTTATGCACTGTGTTAAGTATTAAGTATCATTACTTCTACTTCTATTTTCTTTCTCTCTTGTTCTTTTCTTTTCTTTAAATTTACTGTTAAATATGATTAAGTTTAATTCTATTACAATAAATGCTTTCTATTATATGAATGTATATTGGGCGAATGTATTATTTGGGCGAAACTATTATTATTATTATTATTATTACATATTAGGATTGGTGCATATAGAATGTCGTTTTCACAAATAAAACTTTAGCTGTTGGTCGTGGATTATTTTCAATACTATCTCTTAAAACATTATTGTCGATGGCATTTGCTGGGCTCTTCTTTGCTTCATTTTCTGTCACGAATAATGATTTATATCCTAAGAATATAACAAGAATATTTTAGTCGAGTTCGTTTAGTCGTTAGGTATGCTTCTTTTCTTTCAGGACAAGGGCGCGTGAATCAACTGGGTGGTGTGTTCATTAATGGTCGTCCATTGCCGAATCACATTCGACTGAAAATCGTAGAAATGGCCGCAGCTGGTGTCAGACCATGTGTGATCTCTAGACAGTTACGGGTCTCCCATGGTTGCGTGTCGAAAATCTTGAATCGATATCAAGAAACAGGATCGATTAGGCCGGGAGTGATCGGCGGTAGCAAACCACGCGTCGCGACACCCGAAGTTGAAGCGAAAATCGAGGACATGAAGAAACAGAATCCTGGTATATTCAGCTGGGAGATTCGGGAGAAGCTGATAAAGGTCAGTTGACATCCTCTATACAACATTATCTTCATTTATCTTTTTATGTGATTAAAATATTTTCATCGAATCTATTGCCAATTAAGTACAACATTTAGTGAATTCTAGTAACTTACTGGAATATCTTTTTTACATTTATTGAATCAGTGCGAAAAGTTTTATGGGTTTTCTGCAGACGATATGGTTGTCATGGATTTTGTGGAAACAATAAACAATTATGTTAATATACATATTATGTGTCGATGTCAATGTAACACGGTGAATTGTGGTTTAGAACAAAAATTAACGCGATTGAGTGTGTTTTATTGATTGAAATAAAATTGGAATTGGACTCTTGAAAAACTGAACTTGAAAATGAAAGGAATAAAAACATTACAAATACTGTGAATAGTATTTACACATGATCTATTTGGAGAAGCTGTTATCTGCCAATCCCACACTGTGGTGAACTGAAACATTATTCAAGTAATTTAATTACAAGAAATTCAATAGACAATAATAACCAAAAAATTTGTTTATTAAATATTTCTATTGAAAATACATTAGTCTATTATTCTTAATTCTATTATCTAATATTATTAGTCTACCCCTTCAAGCTGCTGGTCTACATAGCTACTTTAGGCTTTTTGGTTTTCTATCATGTCTAGAAGTTCTTTGTCTAACTGAATGTCGTTTACCTTTGCTATCCCGGATAACAATACAGAAAAGCGCAAAAATTCAACCACACGATCGATATGATGATAGCCGTTCGATTAGCAAGGATTAACTAAGCTGCCATTGTTAATAATTAATCATTCTGAAATTAATAATCATTAATTAATAATTATATAATATTAATGATCATTGATAATGAGAAATTATTTATCGGATATGAAATCTGCATACTTACACTTACACAACCCTCAAGCCGAGCGCTTAGAACCGCTCCACGCAAAACGGTATAACTCAGCCAATTTTACGAATTTCTTTCTGAAATATTAAGACAGTACATTTAAAATGTGTATCATTTGGAAAATATAAGAAAAAAATCGACTTTTTCAAAATTTTACACTGTTGTGCCCCCTTAAGTTAGTTACGTCGTACATTGTATTTCATATGTATTGTTTGATGTTTTTTTAAATTTAGATTTTCAAGAAAACTAATATGGAATGAGATAACTTCGTTCTACAATTATTCATTAATGTTTACTACCGATTTTATTGCTTCATTATAGATACATATAATTCTTGAAAAATGTACGTAGGTGAACAACTTATATGCATTAATTTTAAAAATTGTCAATACTTTCCTACTCATGCAAATACAGCGAAGGATTCTTTTATCGAATTAAAATAATATTAAATCCTGGTGCAAGCTATAACTTTTACATGTATTCATAATTTCTTGTTACAACTTGGTTCTTTATAATATTCTTTCTTATGATTTAAGAAGATTAGGAATTTACAATATTTGATGCCACATAACTTACGAAGGTAAATAATTAAGTGAAACTGACATGGGATACGTCCCTTCCCTTTCGGTACTTCAAAGCGTGCCGCGCTTCTAAAAATCCTTTACTTTTTATTATATGTTTGTGGAATTCTTGACAACACTTTGACAAAGTTCTCTACATGAATTTCGATTAAACAGGGTAGGCCATGTACGCTATTAGCAAGAACGGAACCATGTGACTTTATGTTATGTTTGTGATCCACGTAATAAGTTAATGATTCTGATACACGTTTCGAGATTCCGTATTTAACGAGTTTAATACAACCATCGGAAATCTTATAGAACATGTATTTAACTCGATTCTATAAAAAATGAGCAAAAGATTCACTAAGCACATTTTCAAGTATTACCTTATCATTCGAATCAAAATTATTTATCATCCATATAAAATTAATGTTGGTTCTTAATCTACAATTTTTCAACGATTCTGTTGCACATATTTAACACTAGAACTACTAAGCAAGTCAAAATGACTTGCCAATACACCCTTACAACGATGATTAAAATGTTATAACGATAAATTAGTTAATTTATAAATTTGTAAATTTTCAAAAGTTTGCTATATTTATCGATCGATCGAAAAAGATATGTGTTTATCGCTGGTAGTTCTAGTGTTAATAGTTAGTGTTGTTAGAATCACAAATTGTCGGGATCATTAAAATGAATGCTCATAGCAATAACGACACTTGTCAATTTTTTTTTTCAGCAGAGTAAATTATAGTTATCTTTGACGGTTTTACGAATCTGAAGAATCGATGAATTTTCTTTTCAGACTAAATCAGAACATAGGTCGTTTTTGATAGTATAGGTCCCACCATGTTGTGAGTCTTGATTCTGGCTACTAGAATCTATTATTATCAGAAAAACTGAAACACTTGACAAGGGTCGTTTTTTTATGAGCCCCTCAATTACTCATGTAAAATATATACATTAAATTATGGGATAGTTTATGACGATAGTTAAATAACAAATTAAACTTTACTATTTCTCATTACAATACTAACTAGTCCAATGTGGTTCTGCCAGCAGGACGGTGTCTGTGATAAGGCGTCAGCGCCGTCGGTCTCCAGTATCTCAAGACTCCTTCGCGGACCTGCGAATCAAACTCGGCCTGGAGATGATCCCCGTAGAAATCATTCTATCGATGGAATACTCGGTGAGTCCTTTATTAAATATGTCCCAGTGTTTCCTTTTATTAAACATGTTTATTTTATTGTATTGTTTAACCCTCCTGCACTGAACTAGGTAATTTTACCTAAACGAAAATTTGTATTTTTAATTGTATTCTTTACTCGAGAAACTTATATTTACATACTTCAATCTTACACCAATATTTTACATATACATGTGTATAAAAATCAAGCAACCTAACCCACGAGCAAACTCGGCTTCCACTAAGAGAAAAAATGGCGTAGAAGCACTTGATAAATTTATTTCAAGTACTGAAACAAATGTTAAACTAAATGTTAATTTGGTATAAATTTTAGTAATTCCCGATACCAAATGTTAAAGGCCCTACGCCATTTTTTATGCTCGTCGGTGTACCTACGTACATTTCCTTAATTCGACTTTAGTTTAAAGGACAAGCGTATTCAAGGAATAGGAAATCAACAATTTATTGAACATTGTATGAGGGTTAAAGGAAGCAGTCATTAACATCATCACAAAACTTAAATAGCTTTGTGTTACTTAGATTATTCTAGGATAAAAATCCAAAAGAAACGGCTTTTGAATGTTAGAAGTTCGAAAAAAAGATCAAATTTGTTGAATTTCTCTTTGTTGTGGAATATAAGATGATTAAAAATACCAACCACATACGTAGTAAAAATGTATAATATTACGCACTTCTACAGATAAGAGTTTACAACACGCGAATAATGTTCTTTTTCAATTTAATTATGGGAAAAATTTACTTCATTTTTTTTTCATTGAACATTGGAAAAGTGGATAAATTCTATAAAAAGTTTCTCCTCTGAACACGTTGAAACGATCTTAACTGATCTTGGTGAACGAATTAACGACACCCGGAATCAATGGATTGCCGCTCAAAAAGATTTTCAAGAGCGATACGTGGAAAATTTGCCAACAGCGTCGTTGTTTTAGCACCGCATAAACCATTAGGCGGGCGTAAATGAAACGCTCGAGGTAATCGAGCGATAAGCGTAATTATAGCGTGCAGAAACATTAAGTTAATTGAGTTAAGGTAACCGTAACGATAAGTGCTGCATGTACATATATTGGCAGTAGGTACATATTTTGCACCGGGCGAGAAAGGCATACGATTTTCAGTTACTTCGGCGCACGTGTTTCAATTTTTACGGTTTTTAGAACTTTCGTGGGCATAAATTGTATTGCCTATAACGGCAAGAATTATGTCGTTGTACGATTTTACCGTTGACATACATTTTCTTAAGGGGTTATGCCTACCTGCGAGCTCGAAAAAAGACATGTACTTTCGGAATTTATTTTTAAAAAACTCGAAGACTTTTTTAAACATACGTCATTGTATTCGAAAGTGTACATTTTAAAGTGTTTATAATAATTTCTTCAATGCAAAATATGAATAAATAGGGGAAATATCAGCCATCACCCGGCGGCGTTTTTATTTTAGGCATTTTACGGTGACCACTGAAACTTCGAGTTCGTTTATTTAAAACAAAAAATCCGAGGGAATTTAGTTAATATATTAAATTATTTAGTGGCCGATCGTTCATTATCCCAAGAAATTAATTTACGACAAAATGGCGGCTGTTCGAAGTCGAAGTATCGATTTTCACCAAAAAAATCGTTCATTTTTTATCTAGAAAATAAGAACTACACAATGAAATACAAAAAACCACAATCAGGCACTAGATTTTTATGTATAGCATGAGTCCACCAAAGCTGAATGCGTTCGGTGCAGCGGTTCTCGAAACATTTTGGTCACCGATTTTGAAAATGTGGTTTTGAGAAAAACACGTTTAAAGTTTCGCGTCAGGTTTACAATCGAATCGATGCAAATTTTTTATATATAGTTATTTTTAGTATTTCGGCTTCATATAGCTTTGTAGATACAATGGAGATATAAGAGTGCCTAATAAAACTTATTTTAGTTAAAAAAAATATTCTTTTACCATTATCTTGCAATTGTTTTAAAGAAACTAACTTTTATAATAGCGGAGCACGATTGAAATATTTGGAAAAGATTGAAGATATATCTAGGCCTGTTTCTCCTGCTTATGGACAAATTTTTAAAAATATGCTTATTTGGGAATTGGCCATATAAAACTTAATAGAATTAACGCTTCGGTCTCAATTTCAATTGTTCTTGCGCGTAGAAGGAACTCTTCCTCGATTATGCTGCCAATTTTGACGCAACGACCTGTATAATTAACACGTATCACTAAAAGTATGGACTTTTAAATTTCCTTTTGACCGGTAGCGTATTCAAATCCTTAAATACATATGCAAAACTTTTGTGTATAACATTATTTAGACGCAGTATCATTATAGAATTACTACTTAATTAACCTTTGTGCACTGTTCGGGTTGTATTGCCGCTGAGCCAATTTCCATTCTTCATTAGATTTTTCATTCTAAAAATTTGTACATTAAATTGACACCAATAGCTCAGAGATATTATAATTTACGCCCAATTTAATTCAAGGAATAATAATGCAATGGATTTATTGAACGATACACGAGGGTTAAAAGCTTCAGTAATAATGTCAAAGAATTTTTGCTCGCCAAGAGCGAAACAGTTTGGGGGATAGGAAGGTATTAACAAAAATATAGGTCCGGTCGGCGAATGTAAAGGGAGTCCCCTGCCTTTTTTTATTTATTAGCGGCAGCGAAATCTACGAAGAAATATTAGGCGTCCCGTGGCGCGTGGATGTGTCGAGTTTATTACCACGGCGAGAAGATTTAGTTTTGATTAGATGTACGCCGGGGATTGCAACTCGATCTAATCGTACGAACGCGATTATGATCTACCAACCCACCTGTTGATCACTTTGCATTATTCGTAGGTCGTATTTTCATTTCACTATCAGTCGACAGACACTGTAGGCAGGCAATCTCTATTATTTACACAAAATTATGGGAACACAGTCATAGTGGCAAGGAGAATAAATACAAATAGAAATGGGTTTATTTGTGCAAAAGATTAGTCAAATCATAATGTACATTTTTGATTATTTTTGCACTTCAAGTTTCGCTATATTAGGATGAGAATTTTTCATACTAATATGTTATGGGTTAATGACGTAAATATTGAAGGTTCTGGAAATATTTAGATTGTCATGCAAGTGCCTCAATGTACATCATCATTTTTTAACGATTAACGATATTTGTTTAATGCAATAAATTGTTTTAAAAATGTAACTTGATTGGAAAGTTAATATTTAATTTTCTCACTTATTCTTACTTATATTTGTGAATTCTTTGCAAACAAAATTTCATTATTTCTACAACTTTATTCGTGAAACCGAACCAATACAACAAGACTAACAATGTAGTTAATCAAGGTCTATAGTTGCTGGTACAAAAAAGAGATAGAAGACCTACGTCTTGATTTCGTCATTATATTAATGTACAGTATCCGCATCTGAACAGTTGCAAAATAATTGTGGATGTTTGGCTGTGGTGTTGTGGTTAAAATAAAAACGAATCAAGTATGCCATCTCTGAAATCGTGTGAAGAAATAATGTTTTCCAGGAAAGGATTGATTATATTCCCGAGAAAAAAAGTGGTGTCGTTTTTATTTTAACCACAATATTATAATTATGCGACACAGTGTATGTATTTACATACGTGATCATTACATTCAGTGAAACTCACCTAAGTGGTAATGAATTATTTAATTATTGTTGTAATTACCAATCGGACAACTTGTCCTAATTGATGTCATAATTAGCAACTGCCCTTCACGGATTACAGGAAAAAATATAGTAATAAGCAAATAATATTATAATTTAGTAAAAGTCTCACAGATGTATAAAACTTTATATTAACATTATTGTAAAGTTAAGAAACTTATTGAGAAGATCGTCGAAGGGAGAATAATGCAGAAGAAGAAGAAGAGGAAGAAGACGAAGAAGAAGAAGAAGAAGAAGAAAAGAGTAGAACGCGTAAATATGCGCGCGGCGTGTGGTCTTTGCGAGCTTCGTGTCTGGTTGCCTTTAATCTTATAAACCGCCAATACCAGAATCAGCCTCCCGTTTTCTTCAGGCAGTGAACCATACTATTGATTTAGACGTTTCACTGATCCGAAGTGGCACTTTGGCCAATAATTGTTTACATGGTTTCAAATGATTTACTCCTTGCGGTTTTGTCTAACAAAGTATTCTCGACGTTTATCGCCAATGTCACGTAGTAAGACAAACGATACCTTACTACCACAGACTAAATTATCTTCAGTATTGCGGGTAGCATTTCTTCGGTCAAAATAAATATAATTGTATGTATAATCGTACTCATTGTGAAATTATTAAAATGTCAAATCTTTTGTTTCTTAAGTAGGCAATCATGGACGGAGATTTTACAGTAATATTTGTAATTTTCAGTGGTATTATAATGTATTCAATTTGCATAAAATTGTGAAATTTTAAGAATTGTTAGACGAAACGAACGAAGTTTATAGAATCGTCCTGTTAGGAAAATTGGATATAGATTATGAGACATAGACAATGTATTCCAGAAAATGAACAATGATAATGAATAGAGTTAATATGTTTAAGAAATGATTAACGCAGTTCATTCAACCATCACAAACATTTATAGCAGACACGTTGTCTTATTAAACGAATCACCCTTGATTTCACGTTCTTCGTCACCATAAATTCACATACATATTTGCAAAGCTAATATTGATTTGCATGTCGATTCTCATTGTTTGCTTGGTACAATTTCGACAATTATTGCATAATCTTGCATTATCATTGCATAAATACAAATCACATTTTAGAAACGGGAAATTGAGATTTTTTTCAGGGGTGCTAGGAAACATTTTAACGTTATTTTCATACATTCGTTATTATTTAAAATTACAAAATGGATAACAAAGATCCAGCTTGACAGCTGGATAAACGATTTTTGAATCATTTTACAAAAATAAGGAACTGACAGCTTCATAAAAAAAAGGATAAATTTTTTAACTGAAGAATATCGACTTTGAAAATCCAGAAAAATTTGGCAAATTAAAATATCAAAAAAGAAACTAATAACTTCGCAAATGTACTGGGTACCAGCTGTAATAAGGTCCTGCTGCACATGTCAGTAAACAATGCTGTATAATTCTGCCAGTTGGTAATTTTAAATAATATCGAATGTATGAAAATAATGGTAAAATGTCACCTAGCATACCTGAAAAAAATCGCAATATTTTACTCAATAATTGAAAAAGAAATTTTCAAATCAACCTACTTCTTTTAGGCACAGACGGTGGTATACCTTCTTAACAGTAGAACCACCAAACCATATATGTATACATAGCAATATATTTGTATATTTTGACAAGTTTGCCATGTTTATCGATCCGATAGAAATAGATATACGTTTACCGTCGGTAAGCCTAGTGTTAAAAGGATTGATAGTTTGTGACAGAGGACGAAACACTCGGTCTGATGAACGAAAGCACGGCTCTCGTAGACGATAGAGCGACGGGGCTTTCGTTTAGCTCGTGTGGGACGGGACATGTCAAAGAACTTAATTTCTTCGCGGCGAACCCTAATTTCTCCAGTGTTTTAGTTTAGTATAGGTTCGGCTGGCACAGCTGTAATCAGAAGGGTCTTAATGGTGGGTTGCCGAGACCGGCGTGTGAACTGTGGGCGTGAACGACTCGCTTCCTATCTTCGGTATCTGACGTGCAGCACGTGCTGGACTGGGAGACCTTCTTGCCGCTATTAAGAAGCGTGCTCCGTGAACATCTCTCGGATCTCTCGAACGTCATCGTCGATCCTTTTTCTCGATAAGAGGACCGTTCGCTCGGCGTTTTAAAGAATTCACAATTTCTACTTTCTTCTGCGTGTACATACAATACCGGACAAAAGTATTCGTACACCCTTTAAGGGGTCATGCTCAGTCAGTAATTTTCAAAAAATCGATTTTTCACATTCTACATTTTCTTTATGTACAACATCTCGGGAATAGTCTGTGCAAGTTTCAAGGTAATCCAATTAAAACTGGCAGAGTTCCAGGCGTTAAAAAATGAACATTTTATATGAGTGTAAGCTTGACTTGAAACTTTAAACGCGTTTTTCTCGAAACTATATTTTTCAAATCGATGATCAATGTTTCTCGAAAACTAGAGTATCGATTTACATGAAACCTTCTGCGCCTTATTTCAAATCAGAAAAACTTGTCCTTGAACGAAGGATTATTTTGTTCGTTCCATACTTTTTTCTTAATTGCCCAAAAATGAGCGATTTTTTAGGTAAAAATCGCTCTTTTTCAGGAAAACGTCCGCTATTTTGTTCCTAATCAATATTGCGAAAAATCCCACGTTCAAGGACAAGATTGGTTCTTCCATTACATAAATCTTACTGAGTTTTTAATTTCAGATGAACCATTACGAAGTTACAGTGATCACGGCAGACCACTTTTTGTGAAGAGACATCCGGGAGATCGCTCACCATTCCTTTACTAATACATATTTTTAAATAAAAAAATTACCTTATAATCTATAAACTGCAATCTTTGAAAGACAAATAGGTTTTTGAGAAAAAAATTCCCAAAGAATACTCTTTTTTCGGTCTCCTAACTGAGCATGACCTCTTAAAACGGAACAACTTTCTTAAAATTGGTCCAAATGACTTGAGTTATTTTGTGAAGTTAAATAATCTTATATCGACATAAATCTTCAATATCTATTTATTACATTTTCATTATAGCCTCAGATTAAAAAGTTGTAAAAAACGACCTTTACTATTTTCTTCGTGATTCCAATCAATTGCAACTTTTTCCATTTTTTTTTTGACACATGATTTAGTGAACTAATGTCCCTAACTTCACAAAAGAGCTCAAGTCATTTAGACCAATTTTAAAAAAATTGTTCCGTTTCAAAGGGCGTACGAATACTTTTGTCCGGTACTCTATACATATACATAATATGTATAATGGAACTCTATTTATTGGAACGAAAATTTTAGTTAGTGCTAGATTTATTGAACTCCTACTATCTAAACTACTGCTGAGCGTCACTTCAATTATGGGCATACTGACATTTCGTTAATTAGCCCTTGTGCACTGTTCAATAAATTGCTGTATTACTATTCCTCGAATTAACGTTGTTCTAAACTGAAACCGAATTCAGGAAATATAAGTACGTATCGCTTGGTCGTTTATATGTATGTAAACTGCTGGTGTCAAATTAATTTATATGTTCCTCTGATAAAGAATACAGTTAAAAATTGAAGGCTGGGTTTGGGTCTATTCGACTCGAATAATGCACGAAGGTTAAATACAGCCATAAAATGGTTCGAAGTACAATATTATTTATGTAGTCACCAATAGTTTAATCATCCGATAAAAAAAGTGGCATCACGAAACATTATTATTATCTATTTATAACTACAATTATTAAGAATAAAAAGTAAAAGTTTCCACCTAATGCAATTTATGATTTTAAGATTTTACTTGTTGATTCATAATTTTCCAATATCATGAATTACTTTACATTTACAATGAGTATTTTCTTCCATTACTCATAAATTGAATGTTTACTGTTTCAGGTGGAAGCAGTGGCGATGATTCAGACACGGAGAGTGAGCCAGGAATTGCGTTGAAAAGGAAACAACGCAGAAGTAGGACTACATTCACTGGTGAGCAACTTGAGCAATTGGAAGCAGCTTTTCACCGAACTCAGTATCCAGATGTTTATACCAGAGAAGAGTTGGCTCAAAAGTAAGTTCCGCAAATTCCTATTTATCCTCACATTGGAAATTATATATAACGGATAATGTACCAGCTCGAATAATACAAACACAATTAGAGAATGTAAGGTTGAGTTTTAAGTTTCTTTTTAAGTTTAGGTTAATCCAAAGCATTCCACAATAAATATTAATCTATTATATCATACATTGTCAGTCATGGTTAATCTTAGTAATCGTTAATCACCTAAGTTATTTTATTATTATTATCATTTAACTATTATTTAATAAATGTTCAATGACCACTACAAATGTATACATATATGACCCAATATGAAATACAATTAGATTAAAAAAACATGCGAATCTACTGAAATTGAAATTAATTGTGCTAGACAAATTGAAAAATTATTCCAACTCTAATTACGACACAAAATTGACGATTTTCTATATAAAACATTAAATTTTGAATGAAAAAGGGTTCAGATCAATTGGAAACCAATCCACCTTCAATTTAAAAATGCATTTAATACATACTACATAGTACAAGAAATGTTTTGATCATATTCATTTATGTTTCTTGGGAGTTTAATACTTTTATTTTCAAAAACACACGACACGAAACATACACACATGTACCTGTATACATAAATGAGCTACTAAGAAATGTTCTTAGCACATATAGTTATAAAATTTGTCTGTTAAAGTAGAGATTCGTGAGATGACATCCGAGTTAATGTGATGTGTCTGTTGTTGTTCCAGAACAAATCTGACAGAAGCACGTGTTCAAGTATGGTTCAGCAACAGGCGAGCTAGGCTTCGAAAGCAGCTGAATAGTCAACAACTGAACGCTTTCAACACAATGAGCTTACAGTCTTTTCAGTCGCAACACTACGGTAGCGCAGAGACTTACCAAAGCTACGGCCAGGCGTCAGTAGCTGCAGCAGCCACGACCACGGCTGGTTATCCTCAACATTATAACTACAGCGAGAATTACTACGCTGCGCAGCAACAATGGCCGAGACCTACTGCGGAGAACTATGGGTGAGTTACTAATAAAAAGTTTTCATCTCAACGACTTGATTTACCGTGATCAACACGAGATACAGCGCGTCTTTGCATCTGTTTGAAAATTACAGACTTCATAACTTAATATTCAAATATATTAAATTCATTGGAAGCATTGAAAAGCAAACGACAATACATTGAAAAGCAAGATAGTTCGAAACAATAATTTTTATACACAGGCTCAGGGAATAACCGTATCGGTGATTATGAAAGTGGTGTAAATTAAAAAAACCAAAAACATTGAGTTCTTCTCCTACTTCATGTTACAACGATTTATATTTAAAGATTATGGCAAAATTTTCGAAACTAAAAATATTTACATGACTTACATCATCACTTACATAATTACCGGCACATTATAGTATAATATGGTATTTGATATCATCAAAATTATGAAAATGAGAGACTTCACTAACTCAACAGCCATTACAGAAAATAATTATAATAACGTAACGTTCTATTTAAGGCCCGGTGCACACGAGCGGCACGTTTCATTTTGCAGCCGCGTTGATGTGACGCCACGTTTTGGCAGTACATAATGTACATTAATTTATATGAAGCAATTCACACGGAACGGAAAAAAAAGAACCTAAATAAGACGGAAACAGGACGCAAAGTTGCCGTCAAAACCTGCGTCACGTGTGAATTGCTTCATATAAATTAATTAGATACTGCCAAAACGCAGCGTCAAATTGCCACTCGGTTGCAACCGGGCCTAAATACCATGTATTTAATACTTAAAAATATCAAAGTCAGAACACTAACATGCCATGAGGTATTTAAACACTTTAGATACATATTTTAAAAGTTGAATGTTTTAGCAAATTGTCGTAGGTCAAGAAAGTTTTTGAAACGCCCTTGTATGGTCGTGTTAAACGGAAGGGAATGGTATGCAACCATCTCTATGTATAAGCTTTCCATTCGATTTGAGTTCAGAATGTAGTCGCCAGTGCTTTTAATATTTGTTCTTTTTATTTTCAAATTTGATTATTCAAGAGTTCAATTTCAATTTTATTTCAAGCACTAAAATACAGTCAGCTGTGTCAATTTTTGTTCCAAACAATTATTCATTACTCGAAACTTTTGCACTGTCTCAATAATTGCCAGATAGCAAAGATTCTCTTATAACAATGTATTACGTAAATTCTTACTTTCGACGCATTTAATAAAAGAGTAAATTCATCGATCGAAAATTACTCATCTTCATTTCTATTTTCGCATTTCCCGCTGTTCAGCTCTGACAGAATGAATAAGCAATATAGTCCAATAAATGGGATAGATCAAAGAATTCATTAATACATAGACTTCTCGAATTTTTGTAAAGATCGAGGATATCCGCAAAGACTACGGTAAAATTGCTGTGATAACATTGATTGCGCTACAATTAAACAAAAAAAAGAAAGAATTGCCGGACCCTCCACGAGGCGGCTTCAGTGGTGGAGGCAAAGTGTACGTTGTCGAGGTAGAGATACATTATCCCGGACGTTTAAACCAGATGAATCACTGAGAGGGCAAGCTATGGAAGAAAAAAGGGGAGCGAAAGCGAGAAGGTATGCGGCGGGATAAAAAGAGTCGAATAGGTATATATGTATGTATGTATGTATGTATGTATGTATGTATGTATGTATGTATAATAAATATATAAATATAACATTATACAGGGTGTAACAAAAATGTTGACGGACCCGAAAATGGAAGACTCGTGAGGTGATTTGAAACAAGTTTTTCCTTAGCAAAAATGTTATCCGAGGCTTTGTTAACGAGATATTAACGAAAAACCCCGACCAATATACCTCACGAGTCTCCCATTTTCGGGTCCGCCAACATTTTTGTTACACCCTGTATATATGTGTGTGTGTGTATGTATACGTATGTATATATGTTTCTACAGTGTTTTTTTTTCGCTGGATATTTCGAATATTTAATTCTTCAATTTGCGGCGCAATAAGTAGGTTCGCGAAATCCTTGCCTTTTGCACTGTGCTGTTACATACGAAGTGTAGAGACGAATTCGCCAGAGCGAAGAATGCAAACAAAGAAATTCTCTGAGGAAAGATGAAGGGGGGATCGGAAATTGGTGTTTGCAGTGACTTTATAAAATGCTGAAAGAAAATATTGAAAACTGTGCGAATAAAGAAAGGCATGAAAGATGAGATATAGCGCGAGAGCGCGCGGAAATGTGAGAGTAAAAAGGGGACAGCGAAGCAAAAGGGAGAATAGGTGAGATTGGAGGACTATCAGAGAGAGAGAGGTAGAGGAGGAAGAGAAGGAGAGCTGTTTGTTCATTGCGGTGAAGCGGGCAAGGTTCTCTCCGACACGTTTTCTGTGTGGTCCTCAATTATGTTGCTTCTTCGGCCCCCGTAATGAAACGCTACCGGCTAATCTTCGTCGATGATCCAGCTTTAACCGGCGACTGCGTGCCGTTTCTTTCACCCCGGAAGCCATTCGACCTCGACGCCTGGTAGCTCCGCGAATTCTTCCAACTACGTCCTCATTAAGAATTCTGGCTTTTTCATCAACCTTAACACTAGAACTACCGCAGACGAACGCATTTCTATATAATGAATATATCATGAATTAATTAACTCCTTTACATATATGTGTGTATATATATATATATATATATATATATATATATATATATATACACAGATTAAAACGGAACAACTTTTTTAAAATTGGTCCAAATGCCTTGAGTTATTTTGTGAAGTTAGAGACATTAGTTTAATAAATGAGGTGTAAACAAAAATTGAAAAAGTTGCAATTGGTTGGAATCGTGAAGAAAATAGTAAAGGTCGGTTTATACAACTTTTTAATTTGAGGCTATAATGAAAATTTAATAAATACGCATCGAAGATTTATGTTAGTTATATACATGTTGAAAATTTCATGAAAATCGGTTAACGTTGCTACGAGATACAAATGATTAAAAATGTTGAAAATCGCAGTTTTCCGCGACTTTTGACCTACAACTGTAGTATATCTAAAGATTCTTACATCTTTCGATGCTTGTTACTCGTTTCTGTATTAACCGATTTCAATGAAAGTTTCAGTATGTATATAACTAACATAAATCTTCGATATGAATGTATTAAATTTTCGTAATAGCCTCAGATTAAAAAGTTGTAAAAAACGACCTTTATTATTTTCTTCGCGATTCCAACCAATTGCAACTTAAAAAAGTTTTTTTTACACATCATTTAGTAAACTAATGTGTCTAACTTCACAAAGGAACTCAAGTCATTTGGACCAATTTTAAAAAAGGTGTTCCGTTTTAAAGGGTGTACGAATACCTTTGACACCGACTGTATATTATTCCAATAAAATTTGCAAAGAATCTCCGAAAATACAGTGCTGTGACTAGACTGCAGAAGTTTATGCTAATTCAGGAGTTTCAGATATACTAGTACCTAAAAGAGCAAAACCCTTATTATACATTTCTTTGTCGCACAAAATAAGATCGTCGGTAGGAATGCAACAGTTTAACGACTTTCACAGCTATAAACAAAACACCGTGTTACTCCACTCATTGTTGTCGGTGGCCTAATTTTTATAACATAGGTAATAGCTTCGGTTTGGTGTATTTGTCATATGTGTAGCATCTTTCATTTAGCGTTTAGGTACAATAACCCATCATACCTCGCTACCCCGTTATGTCCTCACTTCCCTTAAAATATATAAATTTTGACCGCGATTTTCTACAGAAAAATATAAAAATTTCCCGCTGCTGGAGTAACAGTATAGAAACATTTTTCACCTACATTTCCGGCTGTTTATCATTTGCTAGATAAACTGGGAGAATTATAATATAGAAGTAATAAAAGAAACGAAATATAAATATTTTCAGTAAAAAAAGTTAGAAGCAAGTTGACCTTAAGTTGTATTTAAATGATTAAAAATATAGGTATTTCATCCTGTATTACTCTTATTAAATGAGAACCCACATACATTATGTACCTTATTCGTCTTGGAGCAGTTTTTACAGACATTTTGTACGGGCGAGGTAAAAACACATTAGTTTTGCTGTTTCCAAATAATTATGTAAAAAATTCTATACTAATATGTTTTGTTGCATTTTACATCTTGCGTGAATTTTTTTTTTGTATTTCTAACCACAGGACAGATGAATGAAATCAAATTTTAAAAATACAGTATTTAAATATCTTAAAAAAGTAGAAAAAATATTTTTTTATTGATAGAATCTGAGTAGATTACGATATAGTATAAATGACATATTTCAATCGTCACGAGAAATCATACCCGCCCAATAGTTTTCTGACTCAAATACAGATCTAGGTAAACAAAACTTGTACAACTTGGTTTGGGAAGTTACAATAAATAAGGGCGTACCAAACCCTGATTGCTATCTACCTACTTCTTTCCGAAAATTATATAACCTCAATAACTCAATAAATCAAATCAATATTAAAATGTTATTCTTCGAATTCGCCGTGTATAACACGATTAACATTATGCATAATTTTATCAGAACTTAACCATGTTGTACAAAGGTATATCATTATTGTAATACATCTTAAATGTTAATAACATTATGAATTTATTTAAAATATATCACAGTCAAATAATCAATTGAAAAGAACGAAAAAACACTAAATTCAACCTAGACAGTCCCCAGGAATCTCTCATTCTTTCACCGAAGAATTCGCGAGCCTCGGCTGGATTATAAATTGTTCGTTCGTTCTCAAATTCACCAGAATTCATTAACACTTCTATAGAAACGAATTTTGATTTGTGGCTGGGGTCGATTAGATGAAAATAGATTTGTAGACCGATCGTCAGAGCACGCGATATATTCTCGAGCTTCCGCCAGCTTTGCACTCGTTCGCCAAAAAGAAATTAAGAGACGACGCGAAAGGTCGAAGGGAAGAGGAGAAAGACAAGGGAGAGAGAGTGAGAGAGGACGAAGGAGAGGAATTAAATGGTTTCAGCATTGGTGCGCTTCAGGGTTCTTAACCGTGCTGCTGTGCCGAAACGGTCAAAAGGACCGCTACTCCGTTTTGAAATCGGTTGTTGGCAGCCTCGACACGCCCTAAACGATTCTCGTTTGTGTGTGCACGAGCATGAAAGTTTCTCGTGCGACCGTGTGCGTGCAGTATCGGCTTGCAAACGAGCAGTGAACTTTGATTGCACGGCAAAACGAGAGAGAAGTTGTCGGCGGTTACTTTGAGACTCGCGAAACGAAAAGAGAATTTCATCTCGGGGTTATGAAGGTAAAATTGCCCCGCGTTAATATTTTAATATTGTCCCTCCGTTTCGCGAACATCGTAACATCGCTGATCTGCTTTATATTCGATGTAAAATCCGTATAAATTTGTAACTTTCTACGTTGGTGATCCTCAAACGGGGGCCTTCCAAATTGTCGTTTCGGTTGCGCACTTGTCGACTGTTAAAACTTTGATGACAGTATTGGAACGTCTAATCGATAATCTGGGCCAGTTACATTGAAAACTTCGTCAATTTATATCAATTCAGTGAATTTAAGCACGGTGAAATTTAAGTTCCATCTGTGGATTTCGATTGAAATGATAAGAATGGCAGATTGCAAGAATTCAGTCGGCGATTTATAATCGTTGTATTCGTCTTACTTTTGGTTATTAATGGAAGACTATTAAGATAAAAGTATGTCGTTTCATTATACAAAAACTACCGTTCGTATTAACGGTACTGAGGAATTGATTGTAAGAACATTTTTTTTTACGACGTTGTGTTTGTTCGGTATAATTATTACTGTTTTACCGTTGTAACCCTAACATACTGTTTCACATCAACATAATAGAAGATATTGAGTTTGGTTTGTTTGTGGTGGACCACCCTGTAGGTTTACACAATGCAATGCTTACAAGAGCATAAAGTCGCGTAAGAGACTCTCTTTGTATACAAATAATAGAATTCATAACCTAGAAATATATGTGTACAATCATAAGCATTATATTCGTAAATATTTTTATTAAAAATCTTCAAAATGTCTGAACGAAGATAAAGTGAGCATTTGACTTGGTAATATATAATTTATTATGTTTTGTTAGTTGTATACATTTTGAATCTTAACGCTTACGATGTTATTACTATAGTGGTAACAGGAGAAAGAATATTTTACAGAAAGAAAGTAGTACTGAGCTATCCCGCACGAGTAGGATGGTAGTTCTTAACATTTAAAAAACAAAATATGACCATCCAGTTAATGTTAGTTTGAGTAAAACAAACTCTAAACATTGAAGACCTATGATTAAGTGTTACGCAATTTTTTCCAACTGTTGAATGAAAAATGAATCCTACAATAACATGCAAATATCATAATAGTAAAATGGGATGAAATTGTAATAACACTAGTAAATAAGATTGTGATATGAATTGAAAAATATAGGTTGTAACTCTGCCCTTAAACTATGAACTTTCCACACAACTCAATACATTAACAACTTATGATTGACCGAAGCAAATTCATAAGTTTCAGATTATAGCGATAACTTACTCTTTTGCTTGTAATTTTTCATATTGTCTCCCTTTATTTGCTCGTTCATAAATTCGTTTACTTCAACATTGTGTAACTTTTGTCATAAACGGTTTAACCACAATTCAATAATAAGTTAATTAATGTTTCGTTACCGCATGTAATAAGTTGAGGTTATATTCAACCACTGAATGTGAGTTGGGTGTTTGGGGTCATATGATCCCTCTCTAGTAGGATAAAATGATCCCAGGAATCATTTTACCCATATGCTATATTATCGTTTTTTATTTTAGTTACAAGAATACCCCCTCAGTATGAAAGAAAAACAACGCGTCAAAGCTGTTTATATTTAAATAAAATGTAATAACTGAAATGCTTTTTAATGTTCGTCGTGTTTACTATCAATAGGTATAAAATGATCCCCGGGGGATCATAATAAAAAATATAATTGATCACGTAGCTAAATTTTATTTAAGTCAATGATAAGGTAGATAGACTAACTTAAAAAGACTACTTTACTTTTATTTAAATAATGAGCATTTGTATTTTTTATATAAATTACGCCCTAAAGGGATCGTTTTAGATACCTTTTCCCTATGTATAATATATCAGGACGGATTATGTGAAACAGTATATTCAGAGGAGTCTTATTTTTCTGTTTCAGATTATTCAATGCCTCTCATTACGGTAGCAGCAATCTCGCATCGAACCTGACTTCCAACAATCTGAACTTGAGTAGTTTAGGTGGCAGTGTCAGCTCTAGTACGACAAATATGAGTGCATGCATGGCCCAGAGTGCAACTTCGGGTGTGCCAGCACCAGCAGGAAACACCACATTACGCCTCACAGTCCCAGCGAGGCTAAAAGTGGCTATCCTTATTTAGGTGGAATAGAATCACAGGTCTGTGGTAGAGTTCACTGAATTGCAGGGTTCCTGGCATAGTTAAATTATAAACAACCCTCCACTGAATATCTTATTAACTATTGTTATAAAGCTGGGCAGAAAGTGAAATTAGAAATAATTGAATTGATTATGAACATATATATGTATACGATTACGTCAAAGTGCCTTCTCGACTGGTCATCAAAGGAAGGTTCAAGAAGAAGCGAAAATAACTGAATTGTGAGAGTAAATTCGTCGCGTAGAAAGTTACACGTAGGTACAAAGTGAATTTCGACTACTATAGGAAAGTGAATGTAAACGGCAGTAAACAGATTTAAATATTCCCGTTTTAAATTCTAAACAACGAGTTAAGCACAACTCGTTTGCAAATATGTATATAAAATAAAGGATATTTCATTTTATATTTCTTTTAAGTTTGTAGGTTTTGCTTGTAAGTATAACATGTAGGGTATTTACCAAGGTGGAAATAGATTAACCGTCTTAGATGTCTGAACACATTATTTCGTTCGAAGAAAACAACTACAATAGGTAAATAATGTATATGCGTTATAAACACAAAAGAAAAGTTCACTCTTAAATGGGTCCAAAATACATATATAACATTTAATTGTCATTAATTACCAGTGCCTTTAACACTAAAATCTTGTGCCTTAAGCTACTGTGTAAAATATTAGAATTTAGAGGCTTTATAGTACACCTGAATCGATAAGAAAATGTTGCATCTTTGTTAATAATGCTGTTATTGGCGATGGAATACAGAATTTATTGTACTGTAACAACGCAACTGGACATTGCTGATGGTAATTACAATTTAACATTACGGTAAATTTTAAACTTACATTATTATAACTCTGAATAAATTATTTCTGGAAGTAAAATTAACTGACCACAAAAATCAGTTAATTTAAATTCGTCTCCATTATATACGTAATTATATTCTTGCAAGATTACATGTTTTCTGATTCATAGCTTCAATTCATACTACAGATTTCTCTCAATTATCGTCCCGAACTCGAGTCCGCGCCGGGACAATAATCTTATAGGGAGAAATGTTTGAGACCCTCGTAAATTCGTTTTGTGCCCGTAGCCCGAGACTCAGCAACAAAAGCAGAGGGGCAAGAAAGTATGCATTTGACAAGTTCCACGACCTCCCCTCTCCTAAGTAGTGGGGATACGCCTGGACAATAATCGTGTAGATCAAGCCAGACAATAATCGAGAGGAGTCTGTAATTGTAATCTTGCCTTGGCGCGATTTCTTTTCTCATTCAGATACATATGTACCCACAAACTCACCATACCTTGATTTTACTATACTAAAAGCAATTTACCCGATTATCGATTGTTTTAACGGATGCCAATTGAGGGCCTGATAAGAAAAACGACCCTTGCATTGTTTTGGTTATTGTGGTAACAACAGATTCTAGTACTCTCAAAAAACGATCTATGTTCTGATTTATTCTGAAAAGGAAATTGGTCGATTCTTAACTCTTTAAAACGTTCCCTGTGCGCGCCGTGGATCCACGTCTGTGAACTTGGGCGATATACGTTTTCAGATGAAATGTGAGAATGCTCGAGTTAACTCGAGTAACGTAGAATTGTATGGTACCATAATGCACATGCTCCAATAAACACGAACAACGAAAGATAATCGGAAAATAAGAAAAAAGAATTATTAATTTAGTATTTTCAGAATTTAACCGAATTTTTAATCACTTTTGTAACTTTTTGTAAGTCTAAAAGATCCTCATTATTCATGCACCATCGATAAATACAAGCGTCAAGAGAGAGGCTTTTCAAAAGTTTGCTTTATTTACGACTGTTATTTTTTAAGTTTTTTATTTTTTGTTGTTCCCAGAATCATTGTAGTAAATCAAAGAAGTAAAATTAATGTGTTTGATCAAATATTTTATTTTTTGTCCACATATATGTAAGTATTGTAGAAAAATATGTTTAAAAAATGATTTCCACAAATGAAACAGTGATCTTTTTTAGGATTTAAAAAAAAAGCGCCTGTTAAGGGTTTAAGATTCTTCAAGATGACAGAGTATTTTTGTACTTTCTTGTAAAAAGACAGGAATTGACAAGGGTCGTTTTTGTTATGAGCCTCTCAATTGCTCCCGATACATATTCCTTATTCGTAGAGTGGAACCATGACTGTATTATATTATGCGTTTACTTTTTCTTTTAAGCAAAAACAGAAGGTGTAATATTTAATTTCAAATTCATTTTCTTTCCAATGCATCATTGATATAGACTGATTAGATGTATAAATTTTATGTAACTGCATACGTTAAAATTATAAGTTCAGTCTTAATACCTACACTTGTCTTTATGTTCCGGGTTCACTATCACAATTCACTATTCGTGATTTGTAGTAAAACATGTCTACAGCTTTATTATACCTTTAAATGCAGTTAGGTGGCGAGAGTAAACATACTACACAGAGATACAGCAAAATGATAGCGTGTAATCTGCGCTTGAATTAGTTACCTTTCGTTGAATTCATACTAAATCCAGCAGGCGGAGATATACATATATATTTATGTAGTTTTGTTACTTTGGCGTCCATTAGGCCCGTTCGGTTTCACGTCTTTTTGCCACGTGTGAGTGTGAGTACACGTATCGTAATATGTATATTCCCCGATAACGTCCATAGAAGTGCCTACTTAAATTGACACGCGTTTCATAATCGAGACTGTAAATAATTAACGCCATGCATGCTGTATTAGCGTCACGTTTGATCGCTAATAAATCCCAAGCCTTGCTGGCGACATTAACACTAGAACTACCGATGATAAATATATATTTATTTCTATCGAATCGATGAACGTGACAAACTTTTGATAATATATAAATTTAAAAATTAACCAATATCTTCACTTTTATATTGTAATACATGTTGTAAAAGATTTGAGAAAATGCACTGTTGTAACATTTTAATTATTGTTATAAGAGTGTCATAATCAGTCATTTTGACTGCTTTGGTAGTTCTAGTGTTAAGCGAGTATTTTCGATAACGACGCGTTAATTTTGTTCTTGTAACTGTGACGCGTTTGCCGCGATTACAGAATTAGAAACGTACGAGAAAAAGAGACTTGTACCCTATATGTAGTAAACGTAGCATATGCACATAACTTAATGCCTTACAATTGCCTTTACATAGTTATTCAGATTTGTACAATATAGATATTTGTTAAGGAAGAGGTTACGATTATTTCCTGACTGTGCCTGTCTATGTATATATCCGGTAAGATATTTTATAGTAAGAAATGTTGTCATTATAGTGTTACGGATTGAATAATTAACCTAGCCAGTTAATTAAAACTCTTTTGTACAAAAGTAATTTCATCTAATGCACATAATATTGTTGTAATTTATTAATTATAATTCTCATGTGTCATTCATTCTTATAGAATAAAGAAACATTTGAAAGAAAACGAAGTTGTCTCTTATTTTTCCAAATGACCTTGCCGATGTTAATGTTGAAATTAATTTCATTGGTCTATTTTGCCCCGAACACGGGTAAAACTTCCTCGATTTCCTCAAATAAAACGTCGTGTTTGGTCATATCAACGGTCCTGCAAGTAGTTAAACCTTTTACGGAATCTCCTTTTTGGTAATAAAAAGTTTCGAAAAATTATGAACATAAATACATATTAGTGTGTGCGTTAGAAGATATAAATAGAACATCCAAACTGCGGACAAGTGATGGCGAATTGATATTTTAACAGGATTTAATCTTAACATTATGATACTGGATGTTATCTGTGCAATTTTTACTTTTTCTTTTTTGCCCAAGTCTGCGTTTCTTATTGGATTGTTTCAGAAAATTTGAATATACATGTATGTACACATACTAGAAACAATCTTTTCTCCTGTCTCAGACATCTAATTATTAGGAAATTACTGACTATTGACAAAACTAGTTTTTATTGTTGGGCAGAAACACGTTTTCAGTGCGCCATCAGCGGTAGAGCTTTTCGTATGTGTATTAGCGTTGAGTCGCCAATGTCGTCACACTTTTTCAATATACATGTAACATAAATGACCATATGAACACAATTATAAAATGATAACTTGTTAATAATATAAATAATAATAAACAAGTAACCGGGTAAGCATATCGCGACCTAACAAGAACTGTCACGGGATAATCAGAGCTATTACGGAGTAACCAAAACATTTTGTGAAAATTCAATTTTATACCTACTTTTTTATAAAAATGTCTTACAATGATTTTCATAACTTTATATTATCAAAATTGAACAAATTAAATTGTTATAGAAAAATGTAAGTGATATTTATTAACAAATAATATCGATAAAAGGACTATCCCCAAAGTCGAATGAAAAGGTATTACATACGTAGAATACATACAAAAGGAACAATTTTTGGCTGCGTTTTTCTAACTTCTATTGTGCTTTTATGCGTTTAGAGGAATACATATCAGTCATGCGAAACAGAAAAGCATGTCAGTAAGACGAGGCAGTCGTTTGGTTGGAATCAGTTTAATGTTAAAAACTGACAGACAGGAGGTATTATTGTAAAATTAGCCATAAAAAGGTATTTAATTCAAGAACTTCTACGTATTATACCGGTATTTTCGATTTTATCTTGGCCCTATATAACCCTATATAAGTCTTACCCTAACAGAAACCGAAAAAATAGCCGTATTTGTTTCGGTTTTCGGTAATATATCGGTTTCGGTATAACTTTGATGGTATAATACTGGTATCAAAATCATACCGGTTTAAGTCCCTGATTTAATTTGGTAGATAGCAACAGGAATGACGCCCTTATGTCGAGCACTATTGATATTGACCATGCAGCGTGTCCGGACATTTATGAACGTTAGTGGATAATGTACCTATACATACACCCACGAGCAAACTCGGCTTCCACTAGAGGAAAAAGCGGCGTAGAAGAAAAGTCTTCTACCACTTGGAAAATTTATTCCAGGTGGTGAAATAAATGTTAAAT